GCCCTTTCCCTGCTGTCATTTAGGAAGTCCCTCAAGACCTGGTTATGTCATCAGGCCTGGGTGTCTTTGGGAACCAGAGACATTCTTAGATGGCTCCACTATTACTGATATCCTGTTCTCTCTGTGGGGCTTGTATATTTTAAATTTTTTGATAATATTTCCATTTTAATAATCACTTTTTATCTTTTTTATAATGATTGTTTATTTGTTGTTTTATTTAATTGTTGTACGCCGCGCAGAGTCATTTTGTATGAGGTGGGTGGGTTTATAAATGTGACAAAGTTAAATGACTGGAAAGGGTAACTAAACAAAGTTATTGAGGATTTTAAAAGGTGATATTCTTTCCCTATTATGAATTTGAAATGGCCCATTAATCAGTTTTACCTGCCATGTGCCTGATGGTCTTTTTGCAATATTCTTCAGCCATTGGAACAACTTTCATCATCTCTCTTCCCCACTGGACCAGCGGCTTTCCTTGGATTGCATATGAAACAAACAGAGCTGAACAAAGGGATCCTAAAAAACCTGAAATTAACACATAAAGATGAATGTGATTATGGTAAAAAAGGAAGTTCATACAGACAACATTTAAAAAAAACAAGTTTGTGGACGTAATTATACCTATGTGTGCAGAAGAAAATAACTGTTTTAGTTTGCTGCTGTGAGGATTTATTTTGTCAGGCTAAAGTAGATACTTACTTTAAAGCCAATTAAAATTTCATCTGCTTTGTTTTCATGGATCAGACATACAACAGAATACACCCTTTTGAAAAATTAAAGAAGCTATCATGAGATAATTTACAGGTATTTGAATCCTCTGCTTAGTTTTCAGGAGTTGCTGTTTTATAAAGCACACAGACTTTTAAAAATCTAAATGCTAACAGACTCCATTTTATAGATATAGATATAGATATATTTCATCTAATGTACCAGCAAGCCAACAAAAGTTCTTTAAAGAATAAAATAAAAGATTATGCTATAACTAGCAATGTAGTTTGGCCATTTGGGGGTGTTTAAAATTTTAAATAACTTTATAGCCCCAAGTGGCCAAACTACATTGCTAGTCGCAGCATAATAAATACATGTGCTGTGAGTCTTAATACATCCAATTTCAGGATGTTGATGAAGATTCTCAGTTGCCATGACTCAACCTCCAGATCCAACTTCAAACTTCATATCCCCCCAGAACTGAAAAAAAAGGACATAAGAAAATGTCCCCTTCCCAAAGATGTACATAATATTTTATGTACCACTGCCAGCGCATAATCGTAACTGTGGAACATTTCAGAGAATAGCTATGACTGTATCTGCTGTCTGGCATGTTTTCATGGTAACATTCCAGGTTGGTGACTTACTTCATTTCTATATGCAGTTCTGATCTCAATGATTATGACATGAGAATGGGATGCAGAGATTCAAAACAAACTTTTAGTGATTCTCAGCACTACTTAAAATAAAAAAAGAATTAATATCCTGTTGCATGTCACTGCGTGGACACAAGACTGATTAGAATTTTAGTTAACACTTTCTTCTCTTCACTGGGGCCAATGATTGATTGATTCATTGACTGATTTTGCGCATTTTCACGGCAACTGCTCTTGTAGTGAATGTGCATGTTGGCTTCTAGAAGCTATGACAGACCTATTTTAAGTTTGCATTTCTGAGTAGAGACACTTTAGGGTTGCCTTTCATCTGACCTTTAGCTAGGAAGTCAGAAAAGAAGGAAGTTTGCCATCAATATGCATGCTCAGGCTGTACTGTGTCACTGTCTAGTGCATCTTTCCCTAACCAGGCATTTTACAGATGTGTTGAATTCCCCAGTCAGCAGAGTCACAGAGCATAATGGAATTTGAAGTCCAGTGGTTTTACTCCAAAAGTCAGTCCTGGTGACTTGATGGAACATCTCTGTAGTTTTCAGAAAACAACACAGAAATGGGTCGCCATTGCCTTCTCCCAAGAATTTTTTTCAGCTGTCTAGGAATTCTACCTGAAATTTTCATGTGGTCTCTGCTTAACATTTCAGATTCACCAAGTTTGGCTAGGTGGTACCTCTTAATTAGTGATGGAACAAAGAGGCAGAGTCTGCAGGAATGGAAACCTGACCTGTAGGTTTACTATTGGCTCCTGCTTAGTGCTTCTCCTGCTGCCCACCCACCTTATTTACTTTTGTTCCTGTTGTGGCAATCACCCCATTGATTCTATAGCTCATCAGGTTATACCTGATCCCATCTTTTCTTTCCATAGTTCCTTCCCATTGCTCCCCTAACTACAGTTGGGAAAGTATATATTAATTCAGAATGTGAACCTGTCACATGCAAGCAATTCACATTGTGGAATCCTTGGCCCTAGGCTTCAGTCACAGTTGGAACGAAAAACAGCTTCTAAGTCTAGGCACGTGTATTTGGAAGTAAGTGCTTACAACAGATGGAACTTCTTAATGACTAAATAAAATAGGAGTATTGGCACACATTTGTGGATGCTGCCTGCATTAACATCTTTATTCCTTTATATTTGTTTTTAATATTAGAAACTTACATGTTATTATCTCAGCCCTTCTAGATAAATATCAAGCTTCTTTCTTGCAAATTCTCCACATAGTTATTTCTCCCTCATCATGTTTGTGTGTGTGTGTGTGTGTGTGTGTGTGTGTGTGTAAGTATCTGTTAGCCTTGCAAGGTAGTCAAGACAAGAAGCACAACCGGAAGTACTAGCTCTATTTTTATTGTAAGGTTACATTAACAGAATCTTGCACATCTGAAAGTGTCCCTCCCTTCCTTCACTTTTACTCTCCCAAAAAGTAGGGAGGGTCCCTTCTGAGACACTTTCGCCACCCCTCCTCCTTTAGACTGAAATTTCATTTATCAGAGCATTGTCTAGGCTGTGGCTCTTCATCCTGTCTTCCAAGGTCATTCCCACATTCCATTACAGTATCCTCTGGGCATTTGCAGTGGAAGGTTAATGGGTGGGGAGAGTTAAATATTCCTTTCAGGCCCCAATTTTTCCCCACACACCTGTGTTTGTCTTAGTCTGGTTAGTGCAGTTCTAACCTTAAGAGAGCTAGTATATTAGAACATATATTCAGTAGACTAGAACATACACCTTTAAATTGTACAGATGTGAAATAAAACGGTACTCCCCCCCACCACCAGATATATATTACTCAGTTATTTGCTAATGACAACGTTTTATATATGATAATCAAGTGAGTTAATTTTCCTGGATATTACCTGTAGGATGATTATGAGTCATTCTTCCCACTTCAATGCTCACTTCAATGAGAGTTTCCAGCCTTTCAGGCTTCCAGTATTTCATCCCTAAGCACATGGCTTTTGTAGCTGCACCAAACCCTGAGCCTATATTATGAAAGACAACATGTAAATTAATAAAGAAGATCTTTTCAAAAAGACAAAAAAACCTGTACATAAAAACCATGATTGTGTTTGATTGTAACAAGATTTTAAAATAGCATTGGAGGAAAGAATTAATGGGACTGTCCTCTACAGACAGACAATTTGTGTGTGTGTATACAGTATATGCATGAATCAGTTTGTGTGTACTTCCATACCTGCATATATACTGGCTGTTATAAATACAGAGGAATAAACCAAACAGAAAAACAGGTCCCATTGAAGTTAGTGTGTTAAGCATGTAGATTCACACATTGGATGAACTCATAATGTGATTCTTTGTTTGTGACTTAGTTTCTAGATGCATCATACATGCATCCCCCAGCTACAATAGCTAGGTTAAATCACTGGGAGGACTGTCCATCTTTTGAACAATCCCGACCATCCCCCCAACTCCTAAATAAATAAATCAGTCAATCCAAAAAAGGCCTTTTGAGGAACAAAAAATCAATTTTTATTGAGGAATAAAAATTGTAATAATAATAATAGTACAGACTTAAAAAAACAAGGTAAAATCAGGAACAAGTTTTTAAAGAAATGAACAGTAATTTGGAATACACACATACACATAACACATACATATGTAGTTTTGAAGAGAATTTTTGATATTTTATTTATTTATTGGGTTCGATAAGGCCACCCAATTCTAAAAAATCTCTGGGCAACTTACGATATAGCCACTACTTAAGTTAAAAATAAAACTATAAACCACACAACTGCCTGAAATAAAACAACAGCACCAAACATGCAAGAAAGACTCAACAGGGGCTCCACAGACACCCTAATCCCAGACCTGATCTTTACACACGCACACACAAACACAACCTTTCTATTCAAAATGGCATTTCAATAGGATAATAGATTAGAAAAATCACTATAAGACTGAATTTGTCCCTCATGGAAAAGTGTTTGGTGTTGTATTAATTTTTCACCCCAAGCACTTTCTCCTCACTTCTAAATACTGTTGATCCAACAAAGATGCATTTTAGTTCTCCTGTATTTAGTAATAACTTTAAAAACTTTTGACCACTAACTGGGTATATTTACCCCTCTATCTCTTTCTAGCCCAGAAACCCTGCCTTTATTATGTACATTAATCCCAAGCTTTTGATTTCTGGGCCTCTTCCTCTGCCTTTTCAAGTAAACAACTGTGCATGATTTGTTTCCCAGCCTTGAATGTTTCTGGTGCTGTCGCTTGTCTACAAAACATCTTTCCCTGTGATGAGACTCAAAAACTCCAGCTTCCTCATCTTCAACCCCAGACACCTAATCCCTTAAATCCCTGTACCTCGCTAAATGATATTAAGAATATTGTATATTCAGTCTCATTGTTGAATGACTAATTGGGAATTTTCCAAGTTATATAACGAGGAAAAATACCATGTTCCCATGAGGACTTGTTCCTTATTTTTTTCACTCATGGTTTATAGTAATGGTATTACTGACACCTTCTCAAGTGTCTTCTCAGAATGAAAGAGTAGTATGAGGAAGACAGATGCCTTTACATCATGATGACTTGTTACCCTTCAGTTGGCTGAGCCACAGAATGGGTCAGATGGAGACATACAGGATCAGTGGGAAACTATAGCCTAAGACTGGCCTGGTTTTATTTTATCTTTCCCCCCTGGAGAGTGGGGGAGGGTCAGCTGTTTGCTCGGTGCTCTACTGCACAGGGACAAAAATAATTGCCATATTATGTTGCAATGTTTATGCCATGATGCTGCCTTAGTATGTGATGCTCCAGTTGAGTGCCCTTCTGTCCCAATGATACAGTGTCATATTAACCCAGTGCTGGATCTGGAATCTGCATCGTCCAGTAGAAACTGTTTTTGCCCATGAAAAAATGGGGCCTTAAACTTGCCAGCATTCAGGCTATAAAACAGGCTCTGCAGTTTGCATATGTGGGAGTTAGGCTTATGCAATACACACTAGGAGGGAAATAAAGTGAAGTCACAGGAGAAATCAGAACTGGCCTGCAAGTTTTGTCTTCAGCCCTACACTCAGAGGCACCATGTGTATCCAGCCGTGTTGTCCCAGCAATCTTATTTCAATAAATGACGCTGATACAATGTCCAGCAATTACAGAGCCTTAGATGAAACATGACAGATTGTATTGCTGAAAATAAATACAAAATTCCAGGACAAAAATCTGGATCAGAAAGCATCATGGCAAGAACAAGGGCTCTTGAAATAGATATTGAACTATTTGTAAGCCGAGACAATTTACAAAAGGACAGTGAGCTGAGTCCCTCCCCAAGGAATTCTGGGCAGCTGGCTCTGCTTCTCCAGGCACATATAGAATTGCTGCCCAGCTATACAACAGACCATGATTCTTTCCTGCATGGTCAGAGGGGAGCATACAGGTTTCCTCCTCCTTGTTGTAGAAAGGGAAAAAATAGCACATACATCTTTACAGGGTCAATCTATGAAATATAAAAGATTTAGCTATTTATGTACACCAGGCCAAACATGCTCTAAATCTGAGTGATGCAACCAGAAGTAGCTTCTTTGACAATGGTATAGCCTTCCCTAAGTAGATATCCTCCAGAAATATGGGAGTTACAGTGCAAAATCTTTAGAAAGCACCATTTTGGAAGTTTAGTAGTTTTCTGGGCTATATGAAAAACTGTAATCTGCAATGATTTAACACTGGTTAATGCTGAGATAGAAGCCAAGTGGGAAAGTATTTAGGAATTAAAAATGCACACACAAAACAAAAACAATCCTATTTTTACTTAAAGTTGGTTCAATATTTTGTGTGTGTGTGTGTGTGTTTACATAAGATTGCATCCTAACAGTGTAAGCCTATGCATATCTACCCAGATGTAAATATCAGTGCCTTCCATGCAATTTACTACCAGCTGAATACATGGAAGTACAGCCAAAATGTCAAAATATTAGAATATATTCAAAATGATTGTATAATGAGTTGCAGCTTGCTTACCGATTACAGGAATATTAGCCTAGTCCCCACTCAACTTACGCTGATCTTGATTCCTTGCCATTTTACTTCCGACTACTTTGAAACAGGGCAGGGAGTACACATCCAAAGCTTCAAACTCTGTGCAGTCCCTGAAACCTTTAAGAACAGTTCCCAGAATATTTCCAAAACCACCTTCTCAACTGTGGTTTTAATATGTCAGACAAAAGAAAAGTATTAAATGAATGGGGAGTGATTTGATTAAAGTTCACTATAATAAATTTGGATTCCACACAATAAATGTACATTTCGTTTCTGTCCCAGAACTTTGGGATGCTGAAAGAATGTGACCTTTGATCCAGCAATGGTTCTGCGTCCTTTCTCTAAAAGGACAAGGGTGTATTATGGTTTTTGTTTAGGAAGGGGGGGGGAGGCCAGCCTACCTTTCTCATTGAAGGGTGTATGCCAGGCAAGGAGATAATTATCTGGCTTCAGTTGGGAGCAGCCTTCAATAGTAGCAGGATCTGACCTTCGCTCGGGAAGTTTTTCAACAGCATCAACGTAACGTTTAACAAGTTCCCGATATAGATCTTCTAAGCACCAGTAATCTATGCAGGCAAAAAATAAGATAAATTTGTATGCAGCAGAAAATGTTAAAAAGAAGGAAGAACATGAATGATGCCTGAACGTGGCTGTTATTTGATTATCACAGTCATTTAACATAGGTTAGTTACATCATAACAGTCTTGGGATACATGAATGGCAATGATAAATACAATAGGGCAGTTATGCATGGTTACCAACAAGTAAGTCTCATTATGTTCAGCCTGGTTTATTCCTATCTCTGCTGGGTGAGTTTATAATAGCAGATTAGTATAGAGCTACCAGTTCTTGGTTGCAAACGTTTGGATGAGCACTAATTGGTAGCAAGGAGACAGTTTAAATTTATGAGAAATGTAGATTATAGTACATCTACTGCAAGAGAGAAAATAAGGGAGGTCCTTAGATATTGCTGAACTATAGTCCTCAGTGGTCCCAGCCAGCATGGTTTAGGCATGTAGTTCAGTTCTTAAGAGCCACAGATGCTCTATTTGTGATCTGTTAGGAGGGCAGAAAGATGGAAGTGTAGTTCTCTGTGTAACATGGAGTACGTGAATATGAGCTAAATAATGGAAATAAAAAGTAAGGTGGAAAGTTCTTTGTATAAGCAGGAATTCTTTTTCTTTTACCAAGGAATTAAGAACATTGCTTTATCTTCATCGTGTCTTTTTATGAGAACCAAATAACCGTGCTTAAAGACCCATTTACCCTAGCATTCTGTAACATGATGTGGCCAAATAGATGTATTTAGGAAGCTCACAAACAGAAGAGCAATGTCTCCTACTATTTGCAGCCTAGCAGACGGCCATTCAAAGTTTGTTGCCTGTGATTCAGACATAGCGTAGGACCATCAGAAGCCACTGATAGTGCAATCCTTTATGAATCTAATTCCCCTTTAAAGCTCTCTAAATGGTAGCAAATGCTATTGTTAACGATGTGTAATGCAAACACACTTTTCATACTTTGGTTGTCCCTGAATCTTCCTGCATTTAATTTCAGTAGATAAACCTGAGCTCTATGGGAAAAAAAGAAGGCACCTGCATCTTCCATATCATTCATGATTTATGTGCTTTTGTTAAGTCTCCCCTTATTATCCTCTATTGCTGTAACTTAAAAACAAACCTGCGATCACTGTACAGTAGCTTTTCCTTGTAGTGAAATTGCTTTAGCCCTCTATTTATTTTAGGTGTCCTGATTTTGCTCTTTTCCAGTGCTTGAGACTTTTTGAGACTTGACTTTTGAGAGTTGATTATCAGTATTAGTAAATTCATAGAATGGAATACTCTGTATTCCAGTAGGTTTCTGGAAGGACATTCATTACTGGCAATTATATTTCCAGTACTCTTTCTAATAATTCCTAAAATTGAATTTGCCGTTTTTTAAAAACAACAGCTGGACTGGACTAACTATCCACCATGACTGCAAGTTTACTTTCCTGGGCATTTGCACTGCCTTTTCCCATCCATAGACAGTACTAGAGAGGTGTGGATAAAAAGTATTCCAACTTTAAGTGACTTCATTTTTTAAAAATAATTTTATTAAAGATGATTGCAGTAGTAAAAGACTAATACAAACTAAAAGAAAGAAAGAAAAGTAGAAAGAAAGTAAAAAGTGCAAAGTGTCTCTCTAGTGTCCAATTTTTAAAACTGCTTATCTCTATCATGTCTTAGAAAAAATTCAAACAAGTCAACTGTCTGGAGCACTTGTGGGTGATCTCCCATCCTCTCTTTATCTGGAGAGGTTCAAAGAGCTGCTCTACTTACTGACTCTTCATTCTTCACCCCAGTTGTTTTCAGTCCACCATTTCTTCCTCAAGAAGCCCCCCAACTTTAAGTGACTTCATATACATATCATAACCAAATCGTAAACTAGAAAGTAAAATTAGGTTTCAATCTCAAGCACTGCAGTGTTGCTGAAATGTACTATAATTTCGTTTTCCGAAATCTAATGTGTTTCTAGTGTTAAATTTCTTGTACAGGCAGCCTTATAAATAAATAAATCTCATATGTCTTGAGATTCATTTTGCCTCTCCATTCCCAATTCATTTTTTTTCAGAGCTCCCAGTAGTTTTTCTTCTGCAGAAAACTGTGTTCTGTATTTAAACACATACATTGTGTCCTCTAGTCAAGACTGCCCCTGGTACATGGGTGTACCTCTCTTGAATTTAATAGAAACAATATTTGGTTTTATCACTCATTCAAATTTTGGTAAATATAGACTGACAAGGCCCGAAAAGAAAGATTTCATCTTGAAACAATAGTTGCTTTGAAATGTATATAAGAAGCCATTCACAACTAATCTTTTAAGCAATTGGGTTATGCAAGTTGGCTTTCAGATAATAGGACATTACAGGAAATAGGAGATTCCACATATTTCTCTATTTTGATCTGTGACAAACCAAATTGTCTGTACCCACAACCCAGCAAGGTAGGGCAGGCTGCCAGGCCCACATGGTCATCATGTATTTAGGAGGTCAATGCACTCTTGTGTGATCTATAACTGTTAATAAACTGCAGATTGATCACATGTGAATCATGATCTAAACCAGTGTTTTTCAACCTTGGCAACTTAAGATGTGTGGCCTAGCTGGGGAAATCTGGGAGTTGAAGTCCATACATCTTAAAGTTCCTGAGGTTGAGAAACACTGGTTTAAAAGATATGCTTCTAAAGAAGGTAAGGCTCATTTTCCAGAGCTTCTCTATTTTCTCCTTAGGAATCAGGTAAATACATATACCAGCAAACTGGGTTAGGGATATGATCATTCTCCAGGGTAGAAAAGGGGAGTAAGTTAGCTCAGTTTCCCACTCCAGTAGGGAGGCTCAGAAATGGTTAAGAGCTATTTAAAATAAAACAAAAATGTAGCTGTTCCTAACTAAAACATGTCAGACTTAACCACCCAAACTTACCCATAATCTTAACTTGGAGGACCCTTACAAGCCAGGGCCCTGCCCTTCCTCACTAATGTCTGGTCTTTATTCTTTACTTGTCACTTAAGACACAGAAAGCTCTCTCCACGTGTTTCCACCTACCACCTCCAAAAGGGTGGGAAAAGCTTCCAAAGAGGGAAGTTCAAACTGACCAATCAAGACCTTTGTTGCTTTTCAGGTGAGTCCTGCTGTTTTTGTTTATATAATGCTGAGTGAGTCAGAAAAATCAGGCAGATTTTGGCCATGATCTGTAAACTTCTGTAAAGCGGTTTAACAAATGAGAAAAACCTGACAAGAAATCAACCAACCTTTTAAGATTACTCGTCACAATTTTTAATGGTAATCTAACCCTTTGATTACTCTAAAAAGCATTGGACTGATTGGAATTTAATTAGACAAAATCTATCACTACTATACCTCAAGCTTGGCCTTTTTCTTTCAGAAGTCAAATCTTAATCTTTAGAAAGGAGAGATACAATGGAGGGTCTGTAATAATGATGGCAGATTTCCAAAAGTAAGAGAATTGGTAGACCTTCTCATATTTTCCAGATATGATTGGATTATAGCTCTCATCATCTCTAACTATTGATTATACTCTCTGGAGATAATGGGAATAACTACAACAACATTTAGGAATCTAAAGATGGAAAAGGCTACTTTTCCATATTTTGGCAACCTATGGATGCAGTAGAATATATATCAGCCTCTTTCTGTATCCATAGGTTGAACAACAGCAGCCTCCTCACGCTGGACAACCTGAAACTTTGGGTGGACTTCAGTTCCCAGAATCCTCAGCAGTGTACATTACTGGCTTGGAATTGTTTAGGTTGGGCTAGTCATTCTTTGTGTTGAAGCTCATTCCTCTGGAGAGTACCCAGGTTGCAGAAGGCTGATCAAGAGTAATGTGGCATAGACAAAAGATTGGCATCTGATCAAACTATCACAATAGCACTGGTGAGGGATCTTATTTATATATTTATTTTATTGAAAAGATTTGTATAGCCACCCATTTTATGTTACAAAACCTTGGGCAGCTCACAACAGTAATAAAAGAATAAAAATAATAAAAAAGCATAAAACCCAACAAAAACAGAACATACCCAGCACCCCAAACAAAGCACACACTACATATGTATAACAACTGTAGAGGTTCCCTGGGCTTCAGCCTTGCGTCTCCCCAAGGCTGGTGGGACAAGCCAGGTCTTTATAGCTTATTGGAAGGACATGAGGGTAGGGGCCTGCTGCATCTCAGGGGGAAGGGTATTCCAAAGAGCAGGCGTGAGAAGGAAAAGAATAAATTAAAATATTTTTTCAAAATGTTGAGCAGAAAAAAAAATGGTCCTGGTCCCAGAAGAAAAGATTTAAAAAGAAAATAAGGTAACTGACAAATGGCACCTACTTTGACACCTGCAGAGAGTAGAAGCGGGGACCTAAGTCTGAGTTCTACAATATTATGAATGTTGCTCAGAAGTGATGTGTATATGCACGTGGATCGTAATAAAGAATTATAGGACCTATATAGAGAACAAACTATACCAATGTATTCCCAAGTTATCTGAGAAACCATTAACTGAGTACTTTGTTCTAATAGGATTCCCTTTGCCCTAAACATATTTTAACTAAGTTACAACTCTGTTTTTCTTACATCCCTGGTTTTATCTTCTACAGTATTCCTAAATGAATCCTCATTGCTTAGGATTATTTATTTTGCATTACCTTATTCAAAACATTAGTTTGCTAGAGAACGGTGTTACTGCTTGATACTAAAGCACTATAGGTAGAAAGGTAGATCAATTACATTTATTATGATCCAAGATCAGACAGAAGTATTAAATTCAAAATGGAAAGAAAACTATACAATTAATCTGTAGCTGAATATTTTATAAAAAATACACTTTTACTACCTCTAATGTATTGTGAGTGACCCCTGCCACAAATATACATTGCCAGTTGGCAAAATTTAGCAAATCAAATCAAATTTTTATTATGGTCATAGACCAGCATAAGCAGGGTGGGGCACAGTCAGTTAAAAAGCATAGAAGATACATCATAATCTTAAAAAAAAAATGGAAAAACTAGAA